TCCCCCCCCAGTGCGCCTTTTTTGTATAAGTTCCCGTGCACTTTATTTGGTTCAATTTGGTGTTTTGTTTTTGAGCACCCATTGTGGGCAAACAAACAACTGTATGCATGTAAGATAGGGACAGTATGTACACAATTGGGGGTGCACCGATACCGCAACTAGTACCGGTGGCGATACCGAGTATTTGGGGCGAGTACTCGTATCTTCCCCGAAACTGGAACTTCCAGTCAAAGGAAGATTTCCTCAGAACCGGCAGTGCCATAGGGGAACATGGAGCCGGCTTCCCGTGCAATCAGTAATGACCCTCCTCCTGATTGGCCGGTATGCCGGCTCCATGCTGTTTGGTTGGGAAGCTGGCTTCTCAGCTAATCAGCATGGAGCCGGGTCATTACTCGCCGCCTGGCTTCCTGGTTGCCCGGGAAGCCGGCTCGATGCTGATTCACTGGGATGCCGGTTTCCCGGCCAATCAAGTTGTCCAAACATCAGGGAGCTGGCTTCCGGCCAATCAGGAAGCCAGGCAGCATGCCTCCCCGATTGCCCGGGAAGCTGGCTCCATGCCAGCGGAAGCACCGGTATATCGGTACTCGGTAGCAAAAGCAAAATATCGGTACTCGATACTGAAAAGACGGTATCGGTGCATCCCTATACACAATGCATAAATATATATAAATTCCTGTAATAAATAAATAACGTAACACAAAATTCCCTTTATTTCAGAAGACTTCAGCACCATTCGGCAATCTTTACTGCGCGGTCACTGACGTACTGAGCGTCCGCGGAGAGCTCCTGGCAGTGGTCAGTAAGTCTTCGTCTAGGAATTGTTCCTTTGTTTAATAATTTGTTCCTCTCCCTAAAGCTACAATAACTCTCTGATACAATGCAGTACCACCCCCGCCCCCCTCCTTGTCGTAGCCATGATTGGGGAATGTCTCTGTTGTCCGTGGGAAATACTTGGCAGGACGGCCCTCAGGAAAATGGCCGCCGATAACGTCTGAGCTACTGCCGGATTTCGGCAAATTCTCCAATAATTCAAAAAAAAAAAAAAAGACAACTGACAGATCCCAACAAATATGGCGGAAATGTCCGGGTTCTGCCAGCCGGCGGAGTGTAATAAGCGCAGCAGCCAACGTCCTGGGCTGTAAAGGCACTGAGTAAGTTCTGAGCAGCGTCTCAGTCCGTCCTCTGCCGCTACCTGCTCTGCTGGACCAGGAGGCTTCGGAACCAGTTACTGACCGCACAGTCCACCCTCAGAACCAGTCCGATCCCACACAGGACAAAGATGCTGCTGATAGTGAAGCCCAGAGCTTCAAACAGGAACCTGGGAGTCAAGCAGGAGAGGGCAAAAGGTTAAAGGGATGCCATGGTCTTTGAAAGCCAAATACGCAGATGAAATACATATATGGGAGCGGCTTTACTTGACAGCTAGAGGCCAAATATCGCATTCTAGGGGCGGGGCTTACACCGCAGAGGTCAGTGTCTTCCGATCAACATTCAGAAAAAGGACGTTCGGTTTTTTTTTTTTATGATTGGGGACATGTATGTGGTCAGATCAGATACAAGAAGCTTTAACTTACTTTGGAGCAAACACTTTCCACACCATAAGGTGACGCCGCAGAATCATGGCCGCACAGACACAGGACAGGAGCTGCGAGGAAACAAAAAGCCAACGCAGGTCACAAAATATGAACCGAAAACAACACTAATGCCTGGCAGTGTAGTGGGGGCTGGAGTGATGCTCATGTATGCCTGACAGTGTAGTGGGGGCTCGAATGATGCTCATATATGCCTGGCAGTGTAGCGGGGGGTGGAGTGATGCTCATATATGCCTGGCAGTGTAGCGGGGGGTGGAGTGATGCTCATATATGCCTGGCAGTGTAGCGGGGGGTGGAGTGATGCTCATATATGCCTGGCAGTGTAGCGGGGGGTGGAGTGATGCTCATATATGCCTGGCAGTGTAGCGGGGGGTGGAGTGATGCTCATATATGCCTGGCAGTGTAGCGGGGGGTGGAGTGATGCTCATATATGCCTGGCAGTGTAGCGGGGGGTGGAGTGATGCTCATATATGCCTGGCAGTGTAGCGGGGGGTGGAGTGATGCTCATATATGCCTGGCAGTGTAGCGGGGGGTGGAGTGATGCTCATATATGCCTGGCAGTGTAGCGGGGGGTGGAGTGATGCTCATATATGCCTGGCAGTGTAGCGGGGGGTGGAGTGATGCTCATATATGCCTGGCAGTGTAGCGGGGGGTGGAGTGATGCTCATATATGCCTGGCAGTGTAGCGGGGGGTGGAGTGATGCTCATATATGCCTGGCAGTGTAGCGGGGGGTGGAGTGATGCTCATATATGCCTGGCAGTGTAGCGGGGGGTGGAGTGATGCTCATATATGCCTGGCAGTGTAGCGGGGGGTGGAGTGATGCTCATATATGCCTGGCAGTGTAGCGGGGGGTGGAGTGATGCTCATATATGCCTGGCAGTGTAGCGGGGGGTGGAGTGATGCTCATATATGCCTGGCAGTGTAGCGGGGGGTGGAGTGATGCTCATATATGCCTGGCAGTGTAGCGGGGGGTGGAGTGATGCTCATATATGCCTGGCAGTGTAGCGGGGGGTGGAGTGATGCTCATATATGCCTGGCAGTGTAGCGGGGGGTGGAGTGATGCTCATATATGCCTGGCAGTGTAGCGGGGGGTGGAGTGATGCTCATATATGCCTGGCAGTGTAGCGGGGGGTGGAGTGATGCTCATATATGCCTGGCAGTGTAGCGGGGGGTGGAGTGATGCTCATATATGCCTGGCAGTGTAGCGGGGGGTGGAGTGATGCTCATATATGCCTGGCAGTGTAGCGGGGGGTGGAGTGATGCTCATATATGCCTGGCAGTGTAGCGGGGGGTGGAGTGATGCTCATATATGCCTGGCAGTGTAGCGGGGGGTGGAGTGATGCTCATATATGCCTGGCAGTGTAGCGGGGGGTGGAGTGATGCTCATATATGCCTGGCAGTGTAGCGGGGGGTGGAGTGATGCTCATATATGCCTGGCAGTGTAGCGGGGGGTGGAGTGATGCTCATATATGCCTGGCAGTGTAGCGGGGGGTGGAGTGATGCTCATATATGCCTGGCAGTGTAGCGGGGGGTGGAGTGATGCTCATATATGCCTGGCAGTGTAGCGGGGGGTGGAGTGATGCTCATATATGCCTGGCAGTGTAGCGGGGGGTGGAGTGATGCTCATATATGCCTGGCAGTGTAGCGGGGGGTGGAGTGATGCTCATATATGCCTGGCAGTGTAGCGGGGGGTGGAGTGATGCTCATATATGCCTGGCAGTGTAGCGGGGGGTGGAGTGATGCTCATATATGCCTGGCAGTGTAGCGGGGGGTGGAGTGATGCTCATATATGCCTGGCAGTGTAGCGGGGGGTGGAGTGATGCTCATATATGCCTGGCAGTGTAGCGGGGGGTGGAGTGATGCTCATGTATGCCTGGCAGTGTAGTGCGGGCTCGAGTGATATGGTGGATTTTACTTCAACAGCCACAGACATTTCTATCAGTTGGCTGGTGGTAGAATGCATGTTAAGGATAGACCAATCAACTGCTTTTATTATCAAGCCCTCTGGTACCAGTACCTGCACTCCCTATATGAAGAGTGTGCGGTCACAGCAACGGTGGGCTCAGTACCTGAACTCTCTGGATGAAGAGTGTGTGCGGTGTGTGTGTGTGTGTGGTCCCAGTAACACTGGGTTCTGTACCTGCACTCCCTGGATGAAGAGTGTGTGGTTACAGTATGAGCATGCTCAGTACCCGAACTCGCTGGATGAAGAGTGTGTGTGTGGTCACAGTATGAGCATGCTCAGTAACTGCACTTCCTATATGAAGAGTGTGTGCAGTCACAGCAACAGTGGGCTCAGTACCCAAACTCTCTGGATAAAGAGTGCGGTCACAGTATAAGCATGCTCAGTACCCGAACTCTCTGGATGAAGAGTGTGTGCGGTCACAGTGTAATCATGCCCAGTACCCAAACTCTCTGGATGAAGAGTGTGTGCGGTCACAGTATGAGTATGCTCAGTACCCAAACTCTCTGGATGAAGAGTGTGGTCACAGTATAAGCATGCTCAGTACCCACACTCTCTGGACGAACTGCGTGCGGTCACAGTATTAGCTGGGTGGGTACCTGCACTCCCTGGATGAAGAGGTATTTGGCCCCCAGCTGGAGCAGAGCTGCAGAGAAGCAGTCCGGATTCTCTCTCAGCCTCATCTCCATTAGAGGCATGTCCTCGTCGTCAGTCTCCCCCTCTCGAGTCTCTCTCTTGCCCTTCTTCCTCCGGCCGCTGGGGGATTCACACAGGAACGGCCAGAGCAGCAGTAGGCAGGATCCGGCTTCCTCAGGGGAGAAGATACAATTCACATCAGACACAAATCACCAGATTTTACAGCGCAGCTACATGACACACCCCTTAAGCCACGCCCACAATAAATAAGCCCCACCCCTGGACATCAGCCTTCTATCTTGGAAAGGCTGCATCCCTACAACTATCCCAAACACACCTTATTTTATCCTCATTGTACTGTTATAAGAACTCCATGAACATGCGATGATGGGAATTTATAAGTTATAGGGTCACCTCTTTGCACAATCTATAATATGCTGAATTGCCGGTAACTCCCAGTAATTCTTTGTCCTGATTGCTTAGCTCAGTTACATTATCTGTGACAATCCTTGTTACCTGAGAAGAGGATGTTGGAGCAGAAGGTGTTGGCGGCGACCATCAGTGCTGGGATGACGTTGTTTGCGTGTCCATCTTGAAAGCCCACAAAGGCCGAGTTCCAGTGAATGGCAGGGAAGACCGGCTGGTGACCAGTGGAGTAGAAGCTCTGGGTGGCAGCGAGAGCCCACGCTATGACCGCGTACCACGGCACACAAAACAGGTCTGAGACAAGGATAACAATAGTATTTCTTAGTATATACGCAAACCAGGCCAAGATCAGCCCACCCTAACCTGATATTATTTATAGGGATGCACCGATAGCGGTTTTTTGGTATCGAGTACCGATATTTATATTTCAGTACTCGCCGATACCGGTACTTCCGGTAGCATAGAACCGGCTTCCCGGACAATCAGGAAGCCAGGCGGTGTGTCATTACCCACCGCCTGGCTTCTTGATTGCCCGGGAAGCCGACACCATTCTGTTTGGCCGGCTCGATGCTGATTGGCCGGGGAGCCGGCTTCCCAGCCAATCGGCATCGAGGCCGGCCAAACAGATCTGACAATATGGTGACACGACCAAGCACCCTGCAAGCACCTCATTCCCCTCACAGAGATCCTTAGCAGCAGTCATTACCGTACCAGTCCCTCGGTAGCCGGCTTTTCCGGCCAATCAGCATGGAGCCGGCTTCATGTTTCCAGTATCGGGAAAGGTATCGGAGCATTTGGGCGAGTACGAGTACTCGCCCAAATACTCGGTATCGGCACTTATACCAATACTAGTATCAGTGCATCCCTAATTATTTATGTTTAATAAGGGGCCTATTATAACACACAGTCCGAATATAGTTATCTGCTCTCCATTATATACCCCTGCCTGCATATTATGGCCCATTCTTAAAATGCAGGCCATGGTGTGTCACAAAGATCACTCTGCTTAATGCAGCAAACAGTACACTCAAGGACTGAAGGGAATGCCAATCACGTGACTTTGACAGGTCACATGACTAGGTTCCTGGCTTTTTTTAAATGTGGTTTTAACAGGAACATTTGATAGCTAAGCTCTTTCAATGCTGCCCTCTGTGATATCAGCCGGAGCCCAGGGACATACTTCCAGGTATGGAGGATCACATGACCCCCATAGTGTAGCCTAAGCTCTCAACAGCCAATCACTAGGACCGAGCTGTCACCTTGGGGCGGGTTTTTAGCCTTGTGCAAGCTCTGACCCAGATCATACACAGTGGGCATCTGGAAAGCACGGGGAAGGTAAGTATCAGCAATGGAGGGTTTTGTGTGTCAAGCGAACTTGACACTTTACCCTTGACTTAAAATCTAGGTGCAGCAAAAGTTTCGTCTGGAAGAAGTGAGGAAGGATTAGAACCCCTGCTGGGCTTTTACCACTATTCGTGTCCTCGCTGGGGAGGTGCACCCACTCTATATGTCAGGGTGACCATTGTCACTGAGAAAGTGAGGAGAAATCCAATATTTTAGAGTTGTCGCTAGAACAAAAGTTGAGGGCAAATCTTTTAATGGAGACACCTATTCTGGGGAGAACTAAGAGCAATTGCCTTCACCTTGGAAGATTTCAACCAACTTCCTGTTCATCTCTGGGATAGGAAATGAAGGGAAACATATCCCAATGGTACGCAGACAGCAAAAAATTACCTGGCAAGGGTTTTAAAAAGGAGAACTATGAGGTGAGTGATTTTCACTCAACCTCATAGTTGGAGCCGACGTGTGACAATGAGACTGTCACACATCGACTCAATAGAGTGTGAAGTGAATGAACAGATACCGTCACTCACTCACTTCTCGATCCTCTCCCTGCAGAGCCGTGATTGTCACTCACGGCTCCCTGCAGGGATTCCCCCCTCCCCTCTAGCGCTGACTGGAGGAACGGACGGGGGAGGGGGGCGGGTACAGCTGGCTCTGCCTCTAGATAGGCAGAGCCAGCTGTCAATCACGCAGCTGGGTGGATCTCAACAGTAATGTTAGGGTCCGTCCCGGCTGCAGCGGTGTCAGTATACCACGAGCTGTAGCTTGCGGTGTACTGAGCTTTGGGTGACGGGGGGATGCTAGTTTATGTCCTCCCGTGACCCTTAGGAGAACTATGGGGAAAAACACTTACCCCATAGTTCTCCATTAAAGTGACATTAAACCCTCAGATTTTTTAACATAAACCAATACTGTAATGTGCGCCTTACTGTAATCCATGGTAGTTTCCCTTCTCTTTGCTGCTCTTCCTTTTAAATCTGTATCTCTTCTCATGCTGGGCAGAACTTCTGTTTTGCAGCAGACTGCCTTCTCTCTGGAATGGATACACGGTGTCTGTGTATAGGTTTGCAACCTGAGCCAGCATTACAGGAAGAGGCACTCAGCTGCAAAAGGGAAGTTCTCCCCCAGCATGAGAAGACATGAGGATTTAAAAGGAAAAGCAGCAAAGAGAAGGGAAACAACCATGGATTACAGTAAGGCGCACATTACAGTATTGGTTTATGTTAAAAAATCTGAGGGTTTAATGTCACTTTAAGTCTTCCATGTTCTAGTAAAGCTAAAAAAACAAACCTTTGGCTCTATACTTTAATAGAACACGGAGGCAAAACAAGAGCTCTCTCACAGTTACATTAACAATAGATTTCATCAGACTGGAAGCAGGGAAAAATCTCTACCAGAAATACAGCAATAAAAACCTGACAGGGGTTCTGGCTTTCCCCTACTCTGCTGAGCTGTTCGGATATTGTCCCCAACTTCTTCTCTGGTAAAGCCGTTGTCACCTAGACAGGAAGGGACTCTCTAACAGAACCCTTGAAAGTAGTAAAACCTGACAGGGGTTCTTATCCTTCCCCACTTCATGCCAGGAGACCCATTGACTCACCATTGTCATCAGGCGCCCAGTACAGGTTGGAGACATGTCCATGGATCTGGAGGATGACCAGTGCCTCTAATAATAGGAGGAGGAAGGCAGGAGTCATCCGTTCACTGTGCAGCATTATGAACACAAAGGTGAGCAGAGACAGAGTGATGACCATAACGGCAGAGTACACGCTGCCCAGTCCATAGGCTTCAATTGCTGCTCCTTTCTTTCCTTCCTCTCTCTCTCCGCCATGCTGGAGCCTGCTCTTCAGTGTGCGCTGCATCTTCCTGTAGATCTGTGGGATGACGTGTTGGAGCTCGGCCTGTGATCCTGGAACTGCACCGAAAGTGGTCACTGTGTTGTCTGCACTGGAGTCCTGGTTCTGCTTCATATAAACAGTCATAGGTTTCCACAGGGTGAGCAGAATGCCTATTCCGGCAAAGATGTATATGGCCCTGGGACAGGCCACGAGGGCTATGTGTGTGAGCTCCCGCAACTTGGCAAAGCTGTCTTCTGTACCGGAGCTGAGGGCCCAGAAGCAGGAAATCCCCAGTGCTATAAGCGGGAACCCCCATCGGACATATAGTACCACTGGGGAGGAGCTGTTGAGGTTTCCGTAGTGCTGCAGCCACTTCCTGATGAGGTAGATAATGACCCCCAGACATAAGACACAACAGATGTAAGAGAAGTTCTTCAGCTCCGAATCCTGCACGCTGGACAGTGGAGTCAGAAAAGCGGACGGCTGACATTCTGGCGTCTCCTCCCGGCAGTTGTGAAAGAAGCTGGAGAGGCGAATGCACAGACCCAAGGCTGCAAGCAACAATAACAACCGGGATCCGTCCTTCTTATAGGCCGGCGTAAGTGAGGGCTTCAATGATTCACTTCCCAGCGGGGTGAATGTTGGGAGCATCAGCCTTCCATCCCAGTGTAGCTTGGCCACGGTCAGTAAGAGTAACGATGTGAGAAAGAATGGAGCCGCCTTTCCCTCCGCCACTACGAAACTGTCCGAAAAAAGAGTGCAGCAGCGGAAAAAGAGTACGACGCAAGGCCCCGAGAATAAGAGAGAGGTGGGCTGGGACCACCATCTCTTTTTTGCATATCTCCTCGATCTGAAGATGTAAAGGAAGCTGAGCTGGGCGATGACAGTGACTAAAGCACAAAGAGACACTAGATCCATATCTACAAATGACATCCATGTGCCCAGGCCGAGTACAACTATCAGCAACAGCGATATAAACACCGGATACCCCAGTAGATGCTTGTAAGACCTATTCATGGCCGAACAAGCCTCGGCGACTATGTAACAGAGGACGCATGACATGAAGAGGATGAGGCTTCCGAAGATCATGCGTAATGGGTGGAAGCGAGCCCAGGACTCCATACACATATGGCGGGCTTGGCTGAGGTAGAGCTGCGTTTTCTGCACCAGCTTGGTCAGCCGATCTTCCATCTCTGCCTCCGACACCAACTTCTGGTCCCACTCTGACATCAGCTGCTTGTATTCTGCCATAGAGGAAGAGGAAAGATCACTGAGGAGCCTTAACTTATCAGCAGGAAGGTCCCCTGCAGCCTGGGAATAGGAGGACAGATAACGGGCTACCTGCGAGAGAAAACACATAGACATTGTGAGTCTTCCTAAGGTTCACCCTAAGCAGCTGTCAGGACAAGTTAATGTAGAAGCAAGGGCAGTGTGTGACCCATTGTGATTCTTACATTGTTATAATGGCATCACCTGAATTGCACTTCCATCGGAATTCTCGTGTATTTAAATCCGAATGACAGTAAGCCTATTCACGACCGAGCAAGCAACTCGCACCACCATTATAAGGGTTGTAATTCCCAACCCTGCTTACTATGCCCAACATGCTGGCACTTTATAAATAAACAACCCTCCTTACTATGCCCAACATGCTGGCACTTTACAAATAAGCAACCCTCCTTACTATGCCCAACATGCTGGCACTTTACAAATAAGAAACCCTCCTTACTATGCCCAACATGCTGGCACTTTACAAATAAACAACCCTGCTTACTATGCCCAACATGCTGGCACTTTACAAATAAACAACCCTCCTTACTATGCCCAACATGCTGGCACTTTACAAATAAGTAACCCTCCTTACTATGCCCAACATGCTGGCACTTGAAAAAATCCTCTCGTCTGTGATGAGAGGACGCCGGAGCCGGACGTCGTAATTAAACAGCCGGCCGGGAGCTTTAAATTCAAGCGATCGGGCGTCTCTACACTTGTATTGCCGGTCCCGAGATCCGCTGTGCCCAGTGAGTCTGGGACTGACACGGCTGCTCTGTGACAGGAGATCGAAGGGAGTTCGGTACACGATCTCCCTCTGATCTCCTCTCCGGTCCCTGAATACAGGAAGTGAGGTATATTACATCACTTCCTGCATTCAGGGTCACTCTTTGTAATAAAGGTTCCAAGGGATAAGTCCCCATGATGCAACCAAAGTCCTCCCCTGCTCTACAAAACCCAAAACATACATTAGGTACTGCAAGAACACCAAGAATAAGGCTACAGATGTCCCACAGAAATACCTTCACTGTGAACCTGGGACCTTCCAAATCAACAAGAAAAAGTGGGTAGCTGCATGCC